TGACTTGTGAAAAACTGTTTTTCCTTCTGACAATACATAATAAAATAAAGGTAAAAACATAACACTTTTAATTTGCTGGTTTTTGTGCTTATTCATTTTATAAAATTATTTAAACTGAAACGGCTAAATTTCTTTGTAATTGCTAAAATTATAGTAGAAATTTATTTTGAAATATTTGTTTTACCAGACTTACAATTATCGGTAGCATATCGCACATGTTCACCATTGCACTTTGCAAGAAACTCTGTGGTCTGAATCAGGGTAGTTTCAAGATCAGGAATGTTAGGCAGACTATATTTCACACATCTGTAAAATTTTATTCAAAAGTTGAACCTTGGGCATTAACCTCAAGAAATTGAAACTGATTAACTAAACTTTATTAATACAACGACTGGCCAACCATTTAACAGAATTAATTCAAACAGTAGTACCATAATTAAGGTTACAAAATTTGAGACTTCAGTACCCTTTAAAATTTGACAATGTTATTTTAAACTATGTATAATCCCACAACCCCCACCACCCCAGGAGAAGAAACCTAAATATTTATAATAAAGAAATTGTTCTACTTATTTAGCAAAATATCTTGAAAACTTGCCTATAATACTATAATAAATAGAGAAAATTAAAAACTGTTATTAACAAGAACAGATTAACTGGCTGAGCTACTAAACAACTGCATACAAAAATTTTAAAAAGATTTGATAAAAAGTTATTTAATTTCTTAACTTTTTGGGTCAGCATAAATCTAAAACCCTGAATAGACTACCCTCTTTATAATAAGTATATTTATTTAAGAATAATAAAAATAATAATACTTAAAATCAGTTCCTCAAAGTTTCAAGCAATAAATTCTTAAAAATTCAAAAAAATTCACCAAACTGATCAAACCAAACATTTTAATGTTCAAACACTTTTTTATTATAAATTTTTAATAGACTGGTGAGATATGCTAACTAAATAGCTTTGAATAATGAATGCCTTACAAAATTCCTAATATTCCAAGTGATGTTTGCTGTATGTCCAATGTTGCATACACATTATCAAGGTGAGATGCATTTTTTGCAAGCATATCACTGCTCTTATTGATAAAGTCACACAGCTGTGTAAAGTTACCTGCAATAAATAATTAAGTCAAGTCAGTTCAGTGTACAAATAATTTCTTTTATCTATTTTTTTTCAGCTGTGCTAATGTGTACTTGATGCAATGAGTTAGACACTTTCTAAATCCTATTTCCTTCATTTTGCTGAAATATCTACTAATAAAGGATATAGCAAAAATAAAAAGGAGACGTCAACATCAAGTTGATATCAAAGTAGTCAAGAATACTCAAAAAGGGATAGGCTATATATTTACTTCGAATTGTTTAGGTTTTTGAAATAGTAATGTCACTATGGGGAATCCTAACAGTGGACTTAGGGTGACAGGACCAACAGTATTCCAATTCTTCATTGAGCATTTTTTGTGTCATAAACTAAATCGAAACATCCGTACAGTTAAAATGAAAATTTCCATTGGTCATTTGTTTTTATTAAAATTCAACTTACGAACAAAGTTCAAAAGAAATTGTAAAAAAACAACTCATCCTTGGTTTACCCCAAGATAAACACCGGAAAAGAGAAATATGCACTTTTAAAAGTGCTGTTTTTAAATTATTGAATGAAAAACCCTTCCCTGTAGGCTGGTCATTTCTGTCATGTCACTGAACATTGCAGGGAGAGGAGATCCCTCCCTTCTTTCAATACAAAAATAAACACTTTCAAGACAAAAATGTAAAAAATCCATGACCTATGCCTATTATACAGTGGAAGACATCACCAGCCCTTCTGCTAACTCTGCCTTTTAGCCAAAAAAAGAGAAAGGTGGTAGTGGTGTTCTTTGACACAGTACTTGGATAAACTATGTTTACTCAATGTACTGCTAATGTGCCAAGGCCAAAAAGCACTGGCACTACCGAGCTGGTGAGATTGTGTGTAGTAAAGAAGTAGTATGCGTATGACTACTATAATAAAAGTATTAAAATAGTAATAATTAAATTAATTAATTAATTACCAATAAGACTAAAACTAGGATAGGATGCCACAATGTCATTTGCGTGTTTATTAAAGATGCCTGGCATGAATTAGGGTTATGTAAATGTATATGTTACCGGCAATGTGTGAAATCCTGTTAAAGAAGGCGACAGTGCTATTCAGTTCTATGTCACGGATTCAGAATTATTTGACGTACTTCACGGAAGGGACAGAATGTTGAAAGAACTTTCACACAAGTATAAGAACATTACACGTAATGATATTGAACTTTACCTCCACCTTTGTGAGCCGTGCCAGAAGAAACAAAAAGGTGTCACAAAGGGTGTTGTGGTGAAGCCTTCAATTTTTTCTGAATTCAACTCCCGTGGTCAGGTCAATCTTATCGATTTTCAATCCCATCCTTCTGACAGGGAATATAATGGTGTACCAAGATCATCTCACAAAGTTTGTGCTTCTGAGGGCTTTAACATCCAAGAGGGCGGAAGAGGTAGCCTAAACACTAGTGGAAATATTCACGTTGCTTGGAGCTCCATCAATTCTACAGTCCGATAATGGCCGGGAATTTACCAACAATGTGGTGAACAGCCTAAAGGAGTACTGGACAAGTTGAAGATTGTCTATGGTAAACCGCGCCACTCACAAAGCCAGGGCAGTGTCGAAAGAGCTAATCAAGACAACAAAACATGCTATGTGCTTGGATGCAAGATGAAAAAACTAATCACTGGGCTGAGGGATTACGATTCATCCAACTTATGAAGAACAGGACCTTTCATTCTGAGATCAAGAGAACGCCTTATGAAGCTCTGTTTGGCTGCAAAGCTAAAGTGGGCCTTGCAACGTCTTCCATACCCCCTGACGTCTTGCAAGACATACAGACTGAGGAAGAACTTGAAAAAATAATAGAAAGCGTAAAAACAACACAGCAGGAAGAAGCAAATCGTCAGATGCAAGATACAGAGCCTACTATACAGAATACTGAAGAGAATGCAACCAGCAATGGCGGAAACCAAACTGATTGTGACGTTATGGTTACCGAAGAGCCTTCCCCTTCTGGTGTTTGTTGTGTCTGCTTAAAAGAAAGCAGCGGTGCCCATACATGCCGAAACTGTCACCGTAATGTTCATGTTATCTGTGGGCTTGCTGCTAAAGACGACGGAGACAAGGAAATAGAAGGTTATGGTGTTGGTATTTTGTGCAGCTTGTGTTTCAAGATAAAGAGAGCTATAGAGGCTAGAAAAGAATCTAAATCGAACCTTGCAATCCAGGACAAAAAAAATGAAAATAAACTCTCAAAAGTTCCCGCCCGCACCTTTAGGAGCCACTGTGCGAGTTCCTATTGCTGACGATGACAAGGGACAGGGTGACTCACGCAATCTGTTGGCAGTTGTTATGACAGAGACAGAAGACGGCTTTTACCGACTTGGAACTGCACAAGGAATCTTGAAACAATTGTATTCGAGATCACAGTTCGCTGTATGTCCAAAAGATTTATTGGGAGTTGAAGACGTCCCGGCCCATGAAATACCTCTCTGATCTGCTGCTATCTCTTAGTCAACAGGAAGCGGTCAAGGATACGTGAGGTGTATGTGCAAGACCAGGTGCCAAAACATGAAGTTTCTTTGTTTGAAAAAGAAAATTAAGTGCAATTCAAAATGCCACTCCAGCCTTACTTGCTGCAACAAGTAGCTTGATGAGACCTTTGCTTTCAAGTTTTATTGTTATCTTTCGTATGCAAATGTGTTTTTCCAATTAAAAAATTTCTTTACGCTCTTTTGAAACTTTGCCTGAAGTATATTTGTAATTATATATAATACCTAGGCAATGTATAAAATGCCTAGGCAAAGTATGTAATAAATCACGAAAATGAAATATTTCATACTTTGCCTAAAACCGCCACACATTGCGGGTGACATATACATTTAGTTTAGTTAGTTTAGGGTTCAGGTTAGGTTTAGAATTTAGGGTCTAGGGATATATTTACTTAGATTTAGTGACAGAATTAACTGGTCTTGTCAACCTAGATGGCAGCCATTGGAAAAAAAACATGGCATCTCTTCTGTGAATTTACCGATACTAATTATTGACTAATAATTCATAGTAATTAGTAATATAATATAAACTCGCCGAGTATATTTATAAAAAAGGTTTAGATCTATATTTACATCTAATTTTAAAGTAAAATTTGGGTAGTAAAAAAGATTTGATTTTAGCATTTTTCTTTTACTATCAATCAGATTACTCTAATTAGTATAATGCATTTTAATTTACCAGTAGAGGACATCGTTTGTACCATATTAACGTAATGCTCCAGAGTAGACGCCATCTTGTCAATAACTTTAGAGTTGAATCATTTGCTTATGGAGTTGTTAAAAGAACAAAAAACAGATATGGTTTAAAATGTCATTTTAAAAAAAAAAAACTATTATTTTGAATGCCATAATAACAATGAAAAAAAATTAAAATTGTGATCAATAATATGGGTATAATATGTTTTAACAGTTAACTTTGTACCACCTTAAGCATTAAGGAATTAATTTTGAAAATAATGTCCCTTATTTCGTGACACAGTCCTATTTGGGCATCAACGTTAAGAACGTTTTACCCAATGACCCCAAACGTTATAATTTAAATATCGTTATCACAAGCACAGCACATTATCACAATTTTGAATTATTTTTCATAGGTTAATTAAAGGAATTCTTGAGTTAAAAAGCTGACATCCATAAGTTTAAGCTTGACAGGGGGAAGAATTTACGCAAATCTACATTCATTAATTTAATATAAATGCGGGAGAGTATAATCGTACTATAATTAATAATGGTATATTATAAGTTAGTTAGCAAACGCAACAAAGTAGACCTATATTTCACGTGCATATTATACACATTTACTTGTCCTAAATTGTAGCTTACACTATTTCTTGCTTTAAACCAATTCTTTGTTTACTTTCACCACTCGATTTGTACCTGGCATTGCTTATACAAAGTTTGTTAAATTATTTTGTTCAATTGAAACTTGTTAGGAATTTGATAATGGCGACAATATATACTGTCACGAACCCTCCCACGTCTAATATTAGTAGACCGAAATCATCTATAATAGTTGACAAGAACGCCCAATCAAATACACCTCAAACATTAAGGGTTTTTATAGATATGGATAACGTTCTGTGTGACCTGGAACAAGGTCTTTTGAAAGCATTTCGAAGAGCATACCCAAGAGAACCATACATCCCACTTGATCAAAGAAAAGGATTAAATATTAGAAAACAATACTCAGAACTCAGGCCAGACTTGGGTGTACGTAAATATTTTACCATTTACATTAATAACAGGAGGTTGTCACCCTCATCATAACCCATCCATATCATTTTTATTTCGTCATATCACCCTAATAAAGCCAACTGCCACCCCTCACCCCCCCCCCAAATAGTGAAAGCACATCCCATTCCTTATTCCTTTGTACTTGTAAAATAATAATAAAACAATATTTTTATGGGATACGTTTTTAATGTGCACTTATGTTAAAAAATATTTAGGATGTCAATATTTTTTAATTTGATACTTACATGTTCACATAGACATATTAATGTAGGCAATCCAAATATAAAAACTCAAACTTGCCTTAAACATTTCAATTATATTATATTACGTCTGAGCCTTAGAAAAACTTTTTTGTTTTTAAATTCAGGAAAAGATTTACAAAATTCACTGTGCCGATGGATTTTTACGTGACCTACCAGAAGTACCTGGTGCCTGTGATGCTCTAAAAGAGATGAGAAAATTAAAAGGGTATGTCTTTTTTTTTTTTTAAAAGAGAAAGAGTATTTTATTCTGGTTAAGGTATCTATTAGAATCAGAGACCTCACTTTATATGATTAATTCCTTCCACCTTGCAATAAGGATAAAAAAAAACATTTACTGCTAATCATACACATAGATCAATTTATTAATCAAAATAATGCATTAAGCCCACTAATTGGTTAAATGACATGTGTTGAATAAGAAAATGAATCCCCAACACAGGACGTGTGTTACAATATAATATGATAGATACTTTAAGGGTAACCACATGTGGCTGGTAGTTCATAACTAGGCCAATGGACTATTATAATTGTTGCACATTATGACTTTAAAGTGTTGCATGTCATGACGCAAAACACGCTTTACACATATGCTATAGATAGATGACTTGATTTTTGTTTTAGTTAATGTCTATATGTGATCATGTTGATATGACAGCCACCCCACATAGACAGGCATTAGTTGATTTGACTGCCACCAACCACCCCACAGAGACAGGCATTAGATTAATTTGACTGCCACCAACCACAGCTCATAAATAAGCATTATATGTGTGCACCCAACCATCGAACATTAATTGCCATTATCAGTGTGCCCCAAACACTACGCATAAATTGGCTGCATTGTATTTATTAAGCTTATTGGTTGTGCGCTTGTCACTTCTAAAACATCTGAAATAAAATATTGCAAATGCAAGAAATACTTGATTCTTGATTTCAGAATCCAAATTTTCATCTATTCAAGTCCAGTCACTCCATATGAACATAGTCTTAAAGAAAAGGTTAGCCTAAAAATAGTTATAATTCTCTTTTCAAAATTTTGAAATGCAGGCCTCTTGTTTAATTTTTATATTCTGATATGGAATATATTTTTGATGTGGAGCGTTGTGCAATATCGACTAAATACTATGACGAATAAATTTTTAGGAAATTGAATTTAGTCTAATTTTATCCTGAGTGAGTAAAATCCCTCGAGTTATGACTTTAACTGGATTATTTTTCAGCCTTTTCTTCTCATTATAGAGTAGATGTAATGAATGATCTTAACTCGCCCCTTTCCCACCCCATATTATTAAGAGGTTATGTCTATCTCTTATGACATTGTAGTGAGCAAGAAACACCTGCCTTGGAACAAATCATTTAATAAGATGTGGAGCTGTTATTTACAGCAAAGTTGTTCTTTACTATTAATAAATGAATTATGTTTTTTCCTCTAGTGCCGATGGGTGGAAGAACACTTGGGACTGGAATGGCTGGATAAAGTTATTTTTGTCAAAGATACAACTCTGCTGACAGGCCATGTGGTAATAGATGATAGAATTTCATTTAAAGGTATTTTCTAATCTGGTTACTGTATTGAGAGTTATTAAGGAAATTTTTTACATGTTTAATTGAATATTTCTATTTATTTGGACCACTTAGTGAATGTAAAAATTGTAGCGCTGTCTGTTACAAAATAGGTTTCATGCTCATGTCTTATAGTTGAAATGTTGGATCGCTGGCAAACACATAAGAGGTATTTTCTTCATTGTTTTAAATGAATCTGAAGTGGTCCTAATTATGCCTAATTCCAATTGTCATGTCTTTATGGTTACAAATGCCAACTGAACTCATGTTATAGTCTATCCATATCACCTAGGATGCATCAAATCCCCGAAATGGGAGCACATCGTGTTCTCAGCCTGTCACAACAGCAAGTGCAGCATAGGGTATAAGAAACGATTGAACAACTGGTGTGATGGCAGTTGGAAGCGTCTCATCCTTGATCAGCGCAAGCATTTACTAGCGTCCTACTAAGTTTAATCAAACGGTTGTTTAATATACATTATGTTTTAATTTCCAATATCTTTTCTTTAAAACTATACAGATTTATAAGCGCTGACAATGCAATTTGAATTGGTTGTAAATGCAAAATTGTTATGGCATGAGGCTATATAAAATAAACATATTTTATTTTATGCATTGGCATACTTGTAGGTGCTTATTATGCTGCTTGATGGCCCCAACTAATAAGCTTATATTTAATTTATACGCCACTGTTCTATTCTAGATTTTATATGAATTTTATATTTTGAGGCATTTGTATTTGAACCATGTTATGTTTTATTGTTTTGATACTTTTGCTTTAAAAGCCTGATTATGTATTTACCGATAAATGTAACATAAATAATGTACGTAATATAAGTAACGCTGGGCAGTGATATTGGATAAAGACATTTTGAATATAGGGGGATAAATTTGTAAGTACCAGGAATTATGACGGTTATATATTGTTGCCATTTTTATAATTAAGGGGGGGGGGGGGGGGCGGCCTTTTTTATAGGGGGGGGGGGGGGGGGGGACGTCCTTTTCATAGGCCAGAAACTTGTTCTGTACATTTTCTGATACTGATTCGTCATATTACAATTTAGAGTCACGTATTGTTGTAATTTTTAACAGCTTTTAAAATGCGCTCATAAAATAATCACTTTTTGATGTTAATAAATTTGATAGCATCTGTTATTTTTATATTCGTCTAAAACGACGATGCTTCCCTAATTCCACAGACCTTGACTTTAGTTAGGCCTACATGATTAAATTAATATTCCAAAAAATAATTAAGAATTAGTCTATTTAAATTCAAAATTTTTGTGATGATGAAATGAAAGAAAACAATTTTTTTATGAAAAGGGTAGTGAGGGGATCTGCATAATTTTACATGATGCAACAAAGGGGTAGAGATATTGAAATAGAATGTTGCATGTACGATATAATAATGGATGGCCCCTAAAACTAACATATATTCAAACTATATTTGCAGCATGGATGATGCTAGTTGAGAATATCTGTTTCTCATGCATTCATGTTCATAAAGGCTTACACTAACTAACTCTATGGTAGGTTTACACTAACTAACTCTATGTTAGGTTTACACTAACTAACTCTATGGTAGGTTTACAACAACTAAATCTATGGTAGGTTTACAATAACTCTATAGAGAGTTTGTTCACATACTTTTCATTGTATCTTTAATTCAACTAAAGAATCCCAGTCACCTTTTTTCCGGATTTTGTCCTTTTCGCATTTTAAAACTTAAGTGATGCCCACAGTATCATCTTAAATGTCATATCAGCAGTCGCGTATCTAAGGTTGCTGCCGCCTGGGGTGGTTTAAGAATTTTTTGCCGCCTCCCTTCAACGTAAAAAAATCGCGGCAGTTAGAGGAAAATGCCGGCCCCCAGGGTAAAAAGAGGAAAAAATTCCACCCAGGATGGACCTGCCGCTCTGGAACCCTTTCCAACGCTGCTGCATATCATCAGTTACCGGTACATTGAGTTAACATAAAACTTATGTTAAATGTGATGGCCATGCACCTAGGACAAGGCCTACAAAAATTGTGGGGAGGGGTTTTGGGGAACATTTTTGATACATTTTAAATCAATGTTGCATTCTGTAACATAAATGAATTTAGTTTTTCCATCATAAAATTGTGTTCTGCTTCTTATTCTTATTAAGTACCTATATTTTCGTTGCTTTTGACCGCAAATATCACTCCTTATATCTCACATTTATAAAGCATGGGAGTCGACCCGTTGAGTGGAACTCTCACCCCCTCCACCCTACAGTAGGGCTATAGGTGTATCTTAGACTATTTACGATTTTGGCTCCATCCTTGAGGCTATCGCCTGAGGAGGCCACCCATCAGGAACCACCACACACACATACTTGCACGCGGTTGCGCCCAAACGAAACAGAGACTTTCGGTAGCCTAAAAAAAAAAAGTCCTTGAAAACCCCTTTAACTTTAATATCATGACTGAAAATATAAAAGTATTTTTGTTTAAGACTTTTGGTTGCCGACCCAATTAGTTGACATTGCCCCTCTGTAATATGGAGAGAAAAAAATCACTTTGAATGCAGAGGAAATGAATTAGAAACTTGTCTGTCAAGCGGCCTCCAAAAGTCAGTTGATTGATACACCACTGGACAGACTTTAACATATTAAAATTTAAGCAATATGCCCTGAAAAGTTTCATTCAAATAAGTCTACTTGTTAACTGGACTCAGTTTTTCTGCATAAATACCTGTATTTAAGAGCTTACCTTCAAGTGATATCTGGTTCCCTTAGTGCCGGCTCATTCAACTTTCCACAAGCAAATTTCTCGTTTTAAATTTTAGTATTACGTTTCGACGTGTTTTTTACGACACAGTGCAGTGGCGTAGCTACAATGGTGCCACCGCACCATGGCCCTAAGCCAAAAGGGGCCCGACCGAGCATATAAAAGTATGAATTAAAGAAAAATATTAATAAGTAAGATTGAAAAAACGTAACACGCTGAAATACAGTATTGTTTTCTATGCGCCACAGCAGGTCTGCACAACTCAAAATGTAAGGCGGGCCGCAATACTTTATGAAAAACTTGTGCGGGCCAAATAAAAATAGGACAGGGCTTGTGCGGGCCAAAAGAGAATAGGACAGTGGGGAAAGCTATTAAGAAAATAAATAAGAATATTTCGTTACTTCGCGGGCCACAACGTGGATGCTGGCGGGCCGTATGTTGTGCAGGCCTGCGGCACCCGATTGTGTGGCGCAATGCTTCCACGTGCGTACACATTTCACGTTGTTTGTTACTCTGGTTTATTTTTAAATATAAGTTTTCTCGGTAAATCTTTAAAGATGACAATAGAATTCAGCTAAATGCGATAAAAATGAAGCAAGATTTACTATTTTTTAATAACGAGCGATGTAACGATTCAACTGAATGTGAAATGTCTTTTCTTTTAAGTTCAAGTCAAGTTCTCATCTCAGACAAACGCAAATTTTAATATTACCTATCTTATTTTCATAAATACAACCTGTAGGCTACTGCTGTTAAAAATTCTTAAGCTGGAAGTAACGTCTATTTTAAAGTTGTGCTTTTAGCTTTAATAGTTTTTAGCTCTCCCCCATTTTTTTCTCCCCACACCACCTTTCAGTTTTGTGCCATCTGCATTAGGGGTCGTTCGCAAATCACGTCACGCGCGGGGGGGGGGGGGGGGGTCATTTATTTTTTTCTTTTTAGTCCATTTTTTAGANCGATGAAACTCAGTTTTCTAATAATACCGGTACTACATCTTAATCCAGTATGGGAATATGTTAAAGAATAAAATAAAATCTTAGTTTAGTTATGAAAATTGTATGTATGTTTTGAGTTTTTTTTTTAGTTGTGACGGGGTGGGGGGGGGGGGTTAAAGAATTTGTGACACTTCGTGACATTGGGGGGGGGGGGGGGGTCTAAAAACGTCATTTTTAGCGTGACGTAATTTACAGACGACCCCTTACAAAAAAATGCGTGTTGTTTGTTTCCGGCATCACGACTGTGGACATCTTGGACATCCGACGCCAACTCGTTGAAGCTACCTATTCAATACCGTACGTTACAACTCAAAACTTCTATTCAAGTAAATGGAGGCGGATAAACAAATGCGCATTTGGTGCGCACTCCATGTGGGAATGAATGTTTAGGCATCTGATTCCTCTAGATGTGACTTGACATGTTGCCACAACAAAGGTTTCAACTCATTGGGAAAGCGACTCAGCCAATATTATCAAAGTGCGCACGCTAAAAAAAGCTGTCATGTCCGCCGAGCCCACAGTAGTCCTTGTTGACATGGACATGGTGATTTGTGATTTTGAGCAACAGCTGCTCAAAGAATTCCGCCGAAAGTACCCGGATGAAAGATATATCCCCCTTGAGGAGAGATCTGGGGAGTCTGCTGAAAAACAATATTCTGAAATGCGAAAAGACCTGGGTGTGCGTAATAGTAAATATTTTTTGTTTTGATCTTTAGCACCAGGTAATCACCGTGATCGTGAAGGGGTTGTTAGATAATTGGCCACTCGCCCCCGGGCGCCGTCTTCAGAATCGGCGTCAAAAGCCTTTTTTTTTTTTTTTATGTGTGTATTTATAGATATACTATTTTGGGAAGAGGACCCCCAAACCCAGGCTTTGCCTCGTGCACAGCCTTACTTGCCCCAGCCTTGAATGCGTCTAAATGCCGGTGTAGGAGCGTGTGTCTCTGTACCTTCAGTAAGGCATCCAGCCCCACTCTGCCGTCTTTGACTTCATTCAAGGTGCTTGTAGCTCTATTTGTTAACAGCGCAAACATATCCAACGATCTTCTTCTAGGTGCAGGTATTATTTAAAATGGTATAGACCTATTAATGGGAGCCTAATTTGTTTAAATTATCACGACACAGACACAAATTGTGTCACGAACTGTTAACATAACTGATGGGAAAGTAGACTTTAGCAAAGGAAATTAATTTTTTTTAAAAGAGATATCAGAATAGTGTGAGACCGATAATAAAGTAATGAGTGAATGACGTTTTGAATAGGTCGTTCACATTATGAAGAACCTTTGTTTCATTCTCAGTTAAAAGCCTGTATAACCGCTTCAGAAATTCTAAATGTTGCGTTATTCAGATGAAGGTTATGCAAATCTATACAGCTTATGGATTTTCCCAATCTCTGCCGGAAATCCCAGGAGCGTGCAGTGCGTTAAAGGAGATGAACGCCATTGACGGGTAACATAATTTAATTGGTGTCACAACTATTTTAAATTGAGCCCGCATTTTAAAAAATATCACACTGTTTTAATCTAAACATCCTAACGAAAATTTCCATGCGGCTGGTTCCAACTTAATGTAGAATGAATGAAACAGAGTAGGGTTAAACCTGAAAAAAAAAAAGAGAAGCAACAAAACAACGAAGGTTTCGGCAGAAAGCCTTCGTCAGCGAACAAAACAACAGAAAAAACGGTATAAAAATAAAACATATCACTTTTCTTTTGCTGCCCACGGATACTACGTCCCAGGTAAGTGATATGTCTTATTTTTATACCTTTTTTTTTTTTGTTGTTGTTTTGTTCGCTGACGAAGGCTTTCTGCCGTTCGTTGTTTTGTTGTGTTTCTTTTTTTTCAGGTTTAGCCCTACTCTGTTTTATCCATTCTACATTATGCTGACCCGATTGCAGTCTCTTCCCTTATTACCCTGGTTCCAACTTCTAAATCTAGTATATTCACGTTTATAATTTATACGTGCTAAGAGTCAAAATAGGCAATCAAAATTCCCTCCCCTTGAGCTTATCATAAAGACAAGTAATCCAAGCTTCTTGTAATACCAACAAGAGAATGTTAAACAATTATCTCACTGTTAATTAATGTTTAGGTATTATTAAGTCTGATTGTCTCAGTTTACAGGGGAGGTAAGGGAGTGGGGGGGGGGGGGGTAAAAAAAAACATTCCCCCCCTTAACTAATTGCTGGTTTTAAGGGGGAAAGCCCCGATAGCAATCCTTGTTTGGACACAAATACCTTTTTAGGGGGGGAAGGGGGTGGGGGGGGGGGGGGTAAACAAATACATTCCCCCACTTAACTAATTGCTGGTTTTAAGAGGGAAAGCCCCGATAGCAATCCTTGTTTGGACACAAATCACTTTTTAGTTTAATTTCCTGAAACTTGGTCTTTAGTCACATTTGTATCCACAAGTTAAAAATAATTTTGTTTAAGAAAGAATAAAGTAAAAATGTTTATAAAAATCCCCTCTATTAACTATGTGGTCATATGAACATGCTTTTTAATGCTTTAAGTTGTATTTAAATTTTATGAATTTTTCTGACAGCAGTTTGCTTCATGTCTAAGTACCAGGTACTAATTAATCTTGGTCATAAATTTCTTATTTAATTTTGACGACATGCAATATCTCTCATATTTATTTGTAAGGTGGTATTATATATTTTAAAAAAAAATTCTTTTAAAAATCTCTCTAGTCTGGAAGTTTTCATTTGCTCAACTCCCCTAGTCTCCTATGAATTCAGCCTGAAAGAAAAGGTAGGTAGGGTCAGGAGTCAAAGGTAAAGTTACATAGAGGCCTAATGAATTTCAAAATTTAAATTGAGGAATGGATTTTGAAATAAATGTAAAAGAGCTGTGTACCAAAATTTAATATTGGTAACTTGCACAAAACGATAATTAAAAGTGATATCCAAAAAAACATACCATATAAAAAAAAACATACATATGCCACATATTCAGATGAGGTGAATGAAAATTTTGTAATTAAGAAAATATGAGAATTGGCCAATTTTCCAATTTATTGGAAACTTTAATTTTTTATTTATTATTTTAAAATATCAGATATGAGTTGCTTTTAATTTAAAAAATAGTTATTATTGTAATCTAAGATCATATGAATTTCTGAAGAGGATAGCTCTCAAGTTTATAACATTATTAACGGTAAATAGAAATTAAAAAATGTATTTCATTGAAAATAATTAATGACGCTAAAATAAAGAATTACCATTGTTAAGACAAAGTCTTTCTCATTTAGTGCCAGTGGATAGAACAACACCTCGGAAAAGATTGGCTGGAAAGAATAATACACGTTAGTGATAAAACGTTGATAACTGGTCACCTTCTGATAGATGACGATACAAACATTAAAGGTTACTTTACACTATAATTTATGTCAATTTTTATAAATTATTTTAAAATTTCAAAATCAATGTTCAAATAGTTTTAATTTGCTGTTGCAATATGTATCATTTTGCAATACTAACCAAGTGTGGTAATACTATTTTACACTAATCAGGATTAATTCAAATAATATAACTCCTATAGTCCTATAGTGTGTATGTCTGGAACTAGCACTTAAACTAAAAATTAAAGAGAAACTTTGGAATAGTGTTGAATTTTCAGAACGTGCATCCCCTTTAAAAATCTTTCCATTGCTTTTTATGTGAAATAGTCTTATTATATAAATGATGCCATCAATCATCAATATGGCAATTAATTTTCAGTTAAATGGATATTGCGATTACTAATCTTCATTGTTTTAATAATTTTAGTACCCGTATATGTTTTAATTCTGTGTTGAAAAGAATAGAAAAATTCATTCAAGAAACTTAAGATTGAAATGCTTTATTCTTTTGGTGAACTCTAAAGTATAACTAATTATACAATGCTCTTTAGTGTCCTAAACAGATGTGATAGTGTATTTTATACTTTTCTCTTTCAAGGGGGAGAGACAATTCCTGCCTGGGAGCATGTTGTCTTCACTGCCTGTCACAATGTCAACTCCTACATAGGTAACAAAAAACGACTTAACAATTGGACTGATGGAAGTTGGAGAGAAATAATACAAAATATTAAAAAGTAATGTTTTTTTTGGTAGTTTTATTTTGTTCAATAGCCTGAAAATAAAGTTGACTATCTCGCATATGCCATTAGCTCATTAAGGAGAATTTGAATTTATTTCAAAAACATACAGTATACACATGTATCTTGCTGTGGCTAATATTCCTGGCAATGATGTTTACTAAACATATTTGGACTAATCAAATAGAACGCCATGGCTCTACAAGCTTTATAAAAAAGCCGATCTTGTGAAAAAGTAACTCTTATGGGCACAATTAATGTCATAAGAGTTTAATTTCAGTGTGGTGAAAGTGTTAAATCTAATGTTAAATAAGGCTTGCAGAGGTGAGTACCTAATATAAAATGTAGAAATTTTTAGGTTATACACAAAGACGGTGACCTCATTTGAAATAGTCATGTATTTGTAATCATTTGGGAAAGATAGAGTTTGATTTCTTTTGCAGCTTTGTCAAATCAGTTTAAATATAGCAATATTATATACATCATCTGATACTGTGATACCTAGTTAATTTTCTCTATCTTTTTTCAATTTTATTTGCCATTATAATCAAGATAATTTACATTTAATTAAGTTAAAATATGTACACAGGAAACAACCATGTACCAAATATAGATAAAATGAAAATAAATGAAGAAAGTTCCAAAAGTGTTCACATTTCTTTAATTCCTTTATTGTCTGTTTACAAAAATCATTTTAAATGACACTCACCTTAATAAATAGCACTTTACAGAACATTATTACAAGTTAACATCAGAGCTCATGTACATTTAATGTCATTTAAAATTTTTTAATCACCAAATAGACTAAAGCCGCTAACTCATTCCCTGTGGTTGCAACTAAATGCATCATTCAGGGGTTCCCACAGTTGCATCCAAAATGAGTCCTATCACACTCCTCCCTTGAGAATTCCAGTGACTGAGTGATTCTGCACAATTTCAATAAAGAAAGAAGTTTTTATCTTGTTTCACTTTCAATCTATGTGTGCTTTAGTATGTGGATCTATCTATAGCTCAAATTTTCTGAAGTGCCAAAAATTGATTTTTTTAATAGTGTTTTATTTTTACACTTTTAATGGAATACTTTTCTAAACCTAATTCATTTCTGGATGTAACTGTCCTTAATTTGTTAAAGATAATTAATATTTAGCAGCTTTAAATTAATATAATTTTACAAATGTACATAAATTGCAAATCGGAGTTACTTCCCTTTGTTCTGGAGTATATGACATGTATGGAAGCAACACAGCAGTAAGGAATGAGTTAACAAATTATATTAGGGGCAGAGGCAAATAAACATAAGTCAAGCCGACCTTTAGCTCCTCACACAACATTTCAAGGCATCTTCTGTTTCTGCCTCAGTCTGTTCCCGTATACGTTTAATATTTTTTATCTCTAGTCTCTGGAGCTCATCAGCGAATAATTCAGTAAGAGCTGGGATGAGTTTGGGGAGATGGCCAAGAGTGCGAGGACAAACCTGTAAACAATATCAACATACTAATTATTTATAATGCAATTTTCAAACTTCAGGGGAGTGGTATGGGAGTATAAGCTTTAACTTTTTTTATAAAAAATGACAAAACATGTATAAGTTTCCCAGTCTAAGAAGCATTCATTGACAAGGAAAACATGAATCAATTGTTATCTTTTGTGAGTTCCAGTGAAACAACTGTTTATAACTTAATTTATACATGATTAAAATTGTTTTAAAAAAAACAACTGACCTGCATGTTATCAAAGGCAACACCAACATTTTTTGGTAATGTCATGTCAAAGAAAGGAGTCATGTGCGGGTAACGCTGGCTGAAATGTGTTAATATGATATGCCTTGCGTTCATCCTTTTACCAACATCCATTGCTTCAGAAAATGTGCTGTAAAATAAAAACTTTACAATAAAATAAAAAAGCCAGCAGTTAGTGTGCCCAACTGTTTTATGGGAATATGACACAGAAGTAAAACATAGAGAGGGGGATTTGTTCTGAAGTTATCATTGTAAAATTTAAAAACAATTGTCTGCCATTAACTCGCATCTCTTTAAAACAAAAATGAGGTGGTATGTATCAAGGTTTTTCAAGTCCCCTTATTTCACACACATTTATTATTATTATTATTTTTTGTACTTCTCAATAAGTGGTAGCCTTGAATGTGCTCTTTATGCATTACGTCACATGAGTTGTAAGGCTATTCATTTTGTCAATGTCATACCAAGCAACATCGTTCCAATCAGTTAATTTGCTCATGATAGCTAAACCTAGTTGCAAGCTTTAACAGTTGGTATGATGAAAATTTTCTCTAGTTGAATGTCTCAAAAACAAAATAAATGGTTGTTGATTTTCGGCGGGGGAATCACCTAATTGCAGATCTCACAATAAAAAAAAATCACAGTATAGAACAAGTTGAGTTATATAAGTACCTAGGTGTCACCATTAATAATAATCTGACATGGCATGAACATGGCCACATTCTGTATAAAAAAAAGTAAAGCAAAGACTTCTCTATCTTTAAAAAACTGTACAATTTTGGCGTAACCATAAAGTTTTTAACTTATTCTACAGTTCAACAATTGGAAGACTTCTAAACTTCATTGTTACCTACTGGTGTGGGAATTCATCATCTGGCATCTAACACCCATTAAATAGACTAATCAAGAAAGCTAGTAATATCACACACACTAATCACCCTTCACATAAAGAGCTCTTTAAAGAAAAATTCTGTAGTAAAACTAAAAATATTTAGGATGATACATCCCACTCACTTCATAACAGATACCTAAGATCAGCTCAAATTCTTTCTCTTAAAGTTAGGACAGAAAGATATAAAAATTCCTTTTTTCCCCAGTCTATACGAATTTACCAGCTGGCTCTTCCAGCGATTAAAAAATCTAAATGATCATTAATTAAGTCTTAATTTATTATTGTCACAAATGGAGTTCATTAACACTTTAGATGTCTTGTGTTTAAATTGTTATTATTGTAAAATGTTGTCTTGGTTACAAATATGTATTTATTTATGTGCTGAAAATGAATATGTACAAAGTAATAAAAAATTTTTTCCGTTTACTTGGATCAATGAAGAATCTTATCTTATATGTAAAAAATATTTCCCTTTATTCTACTAGTGTATTCGATAACAATGTCATTTCGGCAACTACTGCGACGCAGTCAGTGCCAAGCTGTATTGACTGGTTGCGTGGAAAGTGGTGATCTGCTGCATTGGGCATCAGCTGGTCTCCATAAATCACTGCCCAGGCTAAGTAGCTGTACTGGTTGACGCCACTTTACGAGGAGCAAGGTTTTTTCGTAAGGCAAAGAAAGTAAATAGAAGGACCACTGAAGAGCCATCTTTACAGGAGCTTGATGGGAGGGCACCAGGGATTGACGGCATTCCACTGGAAGTACTCAAAAAGGGAAAACCTATTCTACTTCAGCTCTTACATGAGCTCCTCTGTCTGTGGTAACATGAGAGACGGCTCCAGGACATGAGAGACGGCAACATCGTAACATTGTATAAAAATAAAGGGGACCGAAGTGATTGCAATAGCTACCAAGGAATTTCTCTCTTTGGCTAAGTTGGAAAGACTTTTGCCCGTGTTGCCCTTAAACGACTGCAGAGTCTGGCTAACAGCATCTACACAGAGTCCCAGTGTGGCTTCCAGAGTGTGTGCTAAACAATAGACATGATATTCTCATTACGCCAAATGCAGGAGAAATGTCATGAACAGCATATGCCTCATTATATTGCTTTCATAGACCTGACAAAGGCATATGACTTGGTAAGTCGGAGAGGCCTTTTCAGTATCTTGCAAAGAATAGGTTGTTCCCCACGACTGCTCACAATCATACAGTCATTTCACAAAAACATGCACAGTAACCTTCAATGTGCTGCCTCTGAGTCATTCCCAATCAGCAGCGGATTAAAACAGGGTTGTGCCTCTTAGCAAGAGGTGTCTTAGCTGATTAGGTCACGTAAGGAGAATGGAGGAAGGACATATCCCAAAGATGCTGCTGCATGGCTAGTTGGCAGAAGGCACAAGACTTATAGGACGACCATGCCTCAGACTTAAGGACGTTTGCAAAAGGAGCATGAGGGAAGCCAACATTGAAAACAATGAATGGGAGCTCATTGCCGAACAACGTTCCAGCTGGCAAACAGCAGTGAATGAAGGAGTAAAAAAGGCAGAAGATAAGCGAAATGAGGCCCTTGCAACAAAAAGAACAAAACGGAGCTAAAAATATTACCAGGAATCAATATTCTCCTGCGAGAAATGCAGTAGAGATTTTCATTTTAGGATTGGCCTAGTGAGCCACTCGTCGAAGTGTAGGACTACATAGCTACTCCATTGTCTCGCAAAGACAGAAGGATGCCATTTATATTCGACATATTTAGTTTGTATCCTTAATGCTCTGTTTATATAATAGAAGATTGCCATAACAGTCATAAAAATCAGTAACCATAATAAAGAGCTAAGTTGGGCAACTGAAATTCTCCATACCTGTGTTTACTGGCTTTAGCATGAGCCAACAAACTGTCGTCATGTGTTGCTTCATGAATGAGGAGGTCACATTTTTCACCTGTTAAGGGATATATTTATTTAGGCATTTTTTATATAGCGCTTATCATAAAGCTCTAAGCGCTTTACAATTATTAAAACATGTAAACTAAGTAAAATAAAAATGAGACACTAGGATAGTAACTACTATTCTATAGAAACAATGAAAATGGCTATACAGAAAATGAGGTAGGGCAAGGAGGGTGCATCACAGGTCATAGGCGGACCTAAACAGATGAGTTTTAAGGGACTTTTTGAAACTGGACGAGGTTTCACTATGACGTATATGGAAGGGGAGCTGGTTCCAGAACGTGGGCCCATGGAAGCAGAAGGAGCGTTCACCGATATATATTCAAACAACATATCTATTATTTACTATTAAGCTAATTATAGTATAGCTTATAAAGTAATAAAAGATTAGTAATTCTACTCTTAAAATGAAAAAAAATAAAGCCAGTGAGACCAAATTAAATTTGAAAAATTTCCTAGCCATTTACAAACTTTGCGCTTTTCAACCTTATACCACATAAAGGTTTACTTAACTATACAAGTGACATAAATTTACTAGCCTGCTTTAATGAGAGCATCACAGGGTCTTGTGTCTCCTGAATAAACCAATTTAAATCCATTTGCATGTGTGAGGGCAACTCCAAATGCATTGTTGCAATGGTCAACAGGAACTGGATTGAACTGAAAAGAAAGGTAAAGTTAAGAGTGGATCATTTCATCACTGATGTAGATACAACTTTTCGAATACTAATAATGACTAAAATAAATCAGGCTTGCTTTAAATGTCAGTGTATTTTTTTTTTTTTTAGCCTTGAATAAATACTGACGTTAAAGTTAAAGCTTTAATAAAAGAAATAGATTACAATGATCTGAAATGAAATACTAGCAATATTTTCATTGACAAAATAACCTCAAGTGATCATTTAAATAGAAATTGTGTAGCCAAAATGAAATCATCTGAAATGCATTTGAAACCCACTTGCATCCCATTCAAATAATTAGACTTTATTCCCATTTCTCAGACAATCTTGTAAACATATGACCGTGTACATCAATATCACCTCCTTTAAATTGAGCTCTCTTGAGACGTCCTCAAAGGAACCAGACTGCAAAGACACACCATCATCATACTCAGACAACAATGTCTGCAATTTTACAAATCTGTTAAGGAAAATTCAATACTTTACTATCAATCCTAAATAGATTTTAATTAAAATAAATAACTTAAGCTTTAAAAAAATTAATAATGTAGATATCTGTTTTATTTGCCATGATGACCATACTAAAATAATGATAATACGAATAGAAAAGCATTTGAGGTGTTGACATTGGAATTTTAATATTTTGTGAGTATTAAAGCATGTCTCGTATTAACTGTATTAGAGCATTTTGGTCTATTCTATTACAAGCAATTTTTATCGATCACTTTTGTTTAATTTTTTAAACATTTGCAAGACTTGAAAGGATCTTTGCTTACAAATTAAACGGAAGAAAATAATGAAATTGTCCATACCTTAACAGAGATGTGACAGGTTCAAATTCTGTATGGTAGAATTTCAGCCATCTCCTCATTTGAATTGGAGCTATCAGCAAAGCAGGGGAAAATGCCTTTTGTTTTTCTTCAAAGGCTTTCTGTCGCTCTTTCAGCAAAGTAATTAAACCCTATTTGATTGTTAACATTACGTTGAGAATTAAAATTCAGGAAATAACAAAAGTTAACAACATTAGTAGGAGATGTCACCTGACTTACTTAAATTTAAAAAAAAATTAAAGTCTTAATTTTTTAAACAATAGGCAAAATTTAATCATTGGAAAAGGGTCACAAATAGTTGTTTTGGTGCCAAACCATTGACCATGTAAACAAATTCCTTCATTTATTATTTTGTAATCTGAAACTGACACTAAAAAATCTACTTAACAGCATTTGCTTTTCATCACAAAACCAATTGGATAATTTTTATTGATGGTCAGTACTTTAATTAGGTGCTATGCTTCAGTCTATTGTAAACATTTTTTTCAAGATTTAAAAAGAAAACAAGGCAAAAGTCAATATTTAGCTTTAGTGATGTAGAATAATGAAATTTGTGAGTGATAGTTTTTTTTAAATTTCTTCTCTGTTTTATGTATTAAGACACAATTCTGCTTATAAGGTTGCACTATCACTCAACAATTTCAAAGAATATTGCTTAGAATGAACACTATATAAATTCTCAATTTAAAACAAAATGTTTAAAAAGACTTACTCTGGTATAATACAAAAATTGGGACTTTTTGCACACGTCTCATTTTAGACATAAACTTCATCATCAATTTTATGACCTAACTATTTTATTAATGTATATTACATAATATTGATTAGCAGACAACATTCAGTGCTAAAATTTCTAGATGCTCTTTAGCCTTTTCTTATAAGCCATCGAGATTATATAACATTCATATTCATAGCCCATCATTTCAAATTACCATGGAAATCTTACGTTTACAGAGTAAAACAATTACTTAAAAAATGTCTTACCAAATGATGGTCCCCATGCATATGAGATATGAAAACAGCTTTGACTTTTGTGAGTATCCTGTTAGCCTTGGCACTCCCAAAGAAGCGATAGATTTGTCCATAAGAATCTTCCCCACAATCCAAGATGACAACTGTGTGCTTGCTTAAAAGAATTAACAAAATAAAAATCATAATTTTTTTAAAAAGACATTTCAAAACACCATAAATAACCAAAAAGGGGACAAACTTTAAAGAAACAAAAAGAAATATATGCAGACAATTGTGACAGACCTTAGTTGAGCAACAATGCAACTCTGTGCTCTTATCCTGTTAGGCTCTGAGGATCCTGTCCCCATAAATGCAACTTTTGGATACTTTGTGGTGCAATCTGAAAAGACAATAGAATTATAAAATAAAAATATTTTGCCATTGCAGGTTACACTTTAACTGGTTGACATTTATATCATTTATATATTAAAAAAAACATATTCGCAGATTCATTCAAGGTATGGAGAGGCAGGGTGACTTTTTTTGTTGTTGTTTGAAAATGAGGTATAGTGAAATAGTAAATAACTTTAAGAACTCACACCTCTCACTTTCTCTTATTTTCAGCAGTTATTTTTACCATGATTCAATCAATAAATATACACATGATGATTTAAAACCATTGAAAATAAAGTAAACAAAAAGGTAATTGTAGGCTGGACACAATTTAAAATGAAAAGTAAGATCACATGTCCAGCACTGCAAGCAGCAAGGAACAATTAAAACAGACAATTTTTTAGATGTTACCTTTAAGTGGATCATGAAAAAGCTAATGTTTTCTAAATCTTAAACAGATAATATCTTAGTAGCATTGTGTCATGAAAATATCATCCAAAATATTTAAAAAAAAGGCATTCGTTTAGCAATGTCAGGTGCTACTTAGCCAACAACTTGACTACCTTCCTCAGTTTCTTTTTCATCTTCTTCTGCAATAATTATGGGTGTTGCAGACATTTTTTCTCTCAAGGCGTCTAATTCCCTTTTAATTTCAGGAACATCTAGGTATCGTTGCTGTATATTTCTGGTGTTGAATTCATCAATTTCCCTGTAAAAGGAGTATGTTGAAAATAAGTGAAAACTCACTTCTAAAGACTTGAAAAAATGAGGTGAATTTTATGTATAACATTTAAAATTTTATTTTTACTACTAAGAAACTAATATAGTGAGCCACAGACTAACGTTCAAGTTTATATTTAAGCAGTTCAAATAAATCCATAATGCAAGTATTGATCCTTTTTAACGAAAAATTGGTCAAAAGAACTCTCCTATTATAAAGAATGGTTTCAGCAGAAAATAAAATTGAATCCAATCTAAATTTAAAAAAAAATATCTTACACTTGAAAACCAATCCTCTTTCCTCTGCATACATAATGGAGTCCAGAAAATGCCATCATGACTTTTCCATTCTTTTCCAAAAAATTGCTTTCTGGTTTTTCTGTCTTCAAATCATCCTCATCTTTTTTGTCAACCTTCAGATCGGCATCTATGGTCATTCCACTATCAATTTCTGGAAGCAGTGGAAAGAGATCCTTGCTGACCAAATTAAGTCTTGCCTGATGATCTCGCACTCGGATCAGATCTGCTGCTACTGCATCGCTGTTCAAGACTAAGTGGTCTGTACTGTCATGTAGCCTGCAAAGAAAACAAAAAAGCTAAATAAGTGATTAAAGATTGCAGTAATTTCATATCTACTTTGTAGTGTGTATAATTTTCTAACAGACACTTTTGTTTACTTTTCCCAATACATATTAAGTATTGAAGCCTTTTTGTGAAACATTGCTAAAAATATTATTCATTATACAAAGAAAAATTAACAGATTAAGTTTCAATAACCTCTTCATCCACAACTGGTAGTCTTTGCTATTGAAAACTGAAGCTGGTGTCATATGAATAACAATAGAAAAAGATTTTTCTGGATTTTCTGTGATGTATTCCTGCAGTACTTTGTTTTTGGAGAGTGAAGGTAAAAATTCTAAACTTGGACATTCCAGGACTAGAAAATGAAGAAAAAAAAACCATAGCAGTTACTAGCATGAATAGTTTGGACAGTTTTCTCAGAAGCAGCCTACCATTTCCTCTATTTTTTAACATGTGGAAATATTTTGAACTTGCTTGATGTTTTCCAGAAAGGATGTTCCATCAGTTCAAACGAACAGCAATCCCATGCCCGCCTAGAATTTCCCCCACCACTGATGGGTATGTAGGTACAAAATAAAAGAATATAACAATTTTAGTGAATATCTTCCTTGTTTGAAAAATCAGATCAGTATATAACATTATCTGGACCATAAATGTGAACATATTTTGATTTTATATTTAATACATCTAAAACCATAGATAATATGAAATTGTTCATTAGAATTTTTTTTAAATATATTTAATTAATATAAACTTAGCAGTCCTGTTGCATGGGAGTTACATTATTATGGCCCTGAACAAGCATACTAAGGCTAAGGCCCTGAACAAGCATACTATAGCCCTGAACAAGCATACCAAAGGCCATCGGTGATGGTATGGGAAGTAGAGGGCATTAATTTTGGAGGACGAAAAGCAGTGTTATAGGCAGAAGTGGGGTTAAAACATGAAAGGACAAAGGTGAATGTACCTACCTAAGAAAGGACGTGTGTCTGCAATTGAGATATCTGTGACTTCCTCGGGATGCACAACTCTTCCATTTTCTAACACGACAGATTGACCTCTCTGCAGCATTCCAACCATTGGACCACTAAATACATAAAAAAAGACTTTGCTTAGAATAGAACAAAAATCCTTTTTTTTTTCTTCTTTTCTACAAAACATATGTTATAGTGACAGCAATAAAAAAAAAAAAATTAATGATAAACACAGAAAAAAGAATCCAATTGAAAGCCACTTGCAAATCTTAAACTTTTGTTCCCATTTCTCTGGGGTCCTAAGAAGAATATTGGCATGAACCTCACATTATAGTAAGTAAAATTGAATGTGTTCATTTAAAAAAAAAGGAAATTACATGGTTATTCCAGCATCCAGACACTTCTCCACATTTATCTTAGGCAGGGGTGCTTTGGCCTGAAACAGGTAAGGTTTGAATGAATGCATTTTTACATTTTTTGACTGCACTTAACATTGAATTTCTAACGCACATACAACATTTTTTTTACTGTACTTAAATATTGACTTCTTAACTCACATAAAATTAATATTATCTTTTTCTTCAAGAGCTTAACCCTTACGGTACTGACCTACTTTTTGCTTTTATTGTCACAGTACCGGCCATTAATTGGCTAATTATTCCTTGTGGCCCAGACATTATTTTGGAACGAGTCAAAATTTGATGGGACTGTTAATTTATTTTGTAACTTTTTTGTTTTAAACAATTGATAATAACATGTAGAGAATTATCTGTTCAGAAATGGATAAGGGTGTTTAAAAAACACTTCTAATCCCAATTAAAGCTCAATAATATTTCAGAACAAAAGGTTTCATCAAGTGGGCGTAAGTCGGCATCAACAATAGCGATTAGGTAGCGCCATGGAAACAACAAATACAGATCCGCATAAAAAACTCAGTAATTGGTCGATTTTCATAATTTAAAAGGCAAACTATAATTTGACTATTCCCCTAAAGAATAAACATTCTGCCCGAGACTGGGGTGAAAGGTTATATCCTCGTTTCTGTGTTTTTATTAGATACCCCTCTATGTGGCAAATAGACGCGCTTGGGCCACAGGGAAAACGATCGGCTGGTGAAAAAAGGCGCGCTTGGGTCACAGGGAAAAATTAGGTCACTGCAAAAAGATGCACCGGGTACTGTAAGGGTTAATTATATCTAACTTTGCCTGAAAGTGGCAATTAGATTTACCGTTATGATGTATGCAAAGGCGACATCTCTTGAATTGTGCACTAATGGGTCGCTTTGTCTTCTCTGACGTTTTTTAGCTTAATCAAAAATAAGAATTTAAAATAATAACAAAGAGTTTTTTAAGAAAATGAGTCATTAATTTAAAAATGTACTAAAAAATGAATTAACTGGATTTAGACTAGAGTATAATGTAAGGATTTTATTTAACTAGAAACTATTTTCCTAATCCAGTGCATAACTGCACTCGACATGATAAAAAAAAATAATATAAATTAAAAATTACCAGGTTCTGGGTTTTCTACGCTTGTTGTTTCCTTATTTCTCTGAGATTCATCTTTGAAGAATCTAACAGGCTCTATTTTGACAGCAAAATCTTCATAAACTCCTTCACCTTTCGCTAACAATAATAAAACTGTAATTACTTAAGGGGAAAAAAAACTACAAAATAAAACAAACATTTTAAATTAAACAACCTATAAAACCTATTACAAAAAAAAAAAAAAAAAAAAAAAAAAAAAAAAAAAAAAAAAAAAAAAAAAAAAAAAAAAAAAAAAAAAAAAAATTTTAAAAAAAAAAAACAAAAAAAACAAAATAAAAAAAAAAAAAAAAAAAAAAAAAAAGCAACTTGTTTAAAAGTTAAAAATGAAATACAGACCTATGTTCATATTGGATGATACGCTGAACTTTTTGGCCATCATCGCAATATTTTCCTGCAAAAAGATAGCAAAAATAACCTGAAATCATTTCAAATAAGCACCCATTTTACTATTAGACAGAAATTCTTCACCCTGTTTTGTAAATGGACCCTCTAGCAATCTGGTGGTCCCTTAAATTTTAAAAATTTAGTTTTATAACTCAAATTTGAAAAAAAAAAACAAACAAAAATAAAATCAATTGGTTACAGAGTTCAGATAACAGTTTTAGTGAGTTGATTAAATTTATTATTTTTTATTGCTGTTCCCAATATTGGTAATGAATTGCAATGTCTGAAGTAGATTGGCACTTAGGCAAACCAGTAATTTTTAAATAACAAGGAGATGATAAAAAAAGCTACGAATGTGACTTAAATGTATTTGTTTAATACCAATTTGTTTTTAAGTGCATTATATTTAGTAAATCTGACTTTCAAGAAAGAATTTTTGTTAAATGAGTTTATGGAAATAGACTACAAATTACTTACTTAAATCATAGGTTTAAAAGAGAAATATAACATACAGAATTAAAATACTAACCACATTTGGAGGGCCATAAATTTTAACTTCTGGAACATTTTTAGAAAATGCCTTTACACTAATGTCTCTGGAGAGATATGTTTTAGAGTCTGGGTTCTTCTGGCCTTCTAAAGTCATAGCCATACCTAATAAAGAAATTTTTTAAATGGCTTAAAATTTATAATAAGTTGATTAGCATAAGCAAATATATTTAGAGCTAAATTGTATTATGAATGCCCATTAAAGTTTCAATACATACTTTCTTTATAATATTAAATGGTCAATATTTGTTATATTTGGTGATTCAAAACCAGATAACCTATTTACATAACACTTAAGATTTAAAAAAATAAACAATAAAAAACTAATTCATTACGTTTTACAGCAAATTAAATATAGTTTAATTCAAATTTTGCCAGGATCCCACAATAGTAGGGCAGGCAGTGCTGAGTGAGACATCTAGAAAGAATGCCAAATGACTGAGGGGTGAAGAGGGTAAACCACTAAAACCCCACAGACAAACAGATCAAGGGCGGACCAAGGTATTTATGGATAAATTATGCAGAAAAAGATCTACCACAGCTTGGAATCTAAGCATGGAAAAGGAAAGCATCAATTAGGTCTGAGTGGAAGGAAGCAGTGGAGCATACTATAGCCCTCCATGAGCTATAGCACCACAGGGATGAATGAATTAAATTTAATTTGATCTATCTATAACTTACAAGTTATCTAGATACACAAGATTCAATAGCTTCCAATAAGAGACATCGTAGTAACATACCTAGCAAACCTCCAGTGTTTTCCCAGCTTTTGTGTGTAATGAAGATAGTCTCTAAACCTGATATTTTTGCAAATGCTGTAGTTCTTAAGCTAATGGGAAAAAAAAATTTAATCACATATCTACACATGTCTTAAGTTGTCAGGTGAGAAATACATGGTAGGAGTGTCTTAAGTTATCAGGTGAGAAATACATGGTAGCGGTGTCTTAAATTGTCTGGTGAGAAATACATGAAAATGCAATGTTGAGTTGAGCTTCAATGGCCTTCAAAGAAAAAGTTTGATGATTATAACTAAGACTAAGAGGATAAGTATAAGTAAGAAATATAACCATGACCATAAAAATAGTGGAGGCAAAAAAAAAAAAGTTGCTTTCTTATAATAAATATACTATCTGATTTTTTACTGGACTCACACTTTACTCATTGCAGCTAGTCTTTGTGTTCCTTCACCACAGTTAAACATGTACCTGTAAAAACATATTGGTGACTTTAACTTTAATGAAGTTTTTATTATTAGATTAATACTTATAGTAGGAACATAGTGTGATTAATAATCAAGCTAGTTGATTAGTCCATCAAAAATTTAAAATAATAATTATTAGGTCTTCCTTTTAACAAATTTCAAATATGGACATGGAATAAATCAGCAAAAAACCAATTGGAAATTTTGTAACTGTAAGCCAACTGTAGCTTGCTTAAAATTACTTCATTTAATAATTCAAATGTGTTATGTAGCCTGAAGTGTAGGCATTGGCTTTTGCCACTTGACTTTGGGCTATAGATTTATAATTTTAAAAATAAGTTTACACATAAATATAACAACAACAGTTTAAAATGTTAAATAAACTTAGAACTAAAATTACTGTGTATCAATGTTACATCAACAATAAGGGTCTCATTAAATACCTGGAATATTCTGTAGTTACAAGAATTGATTTTGAAGTACCAGGGCCTCCTGTGCCTATAACAACAACATTTATTGTTGTTGGAACCTTTGAGAGATGTTGAAACTTTTTCAAACCTTTAGGATGTGAATTACACTTGCTTTGATTAGTTTTACTTCCATCAAAGTTAGTGCTTCTTGAAGCCAATGAGTTAAATGAGTGGAGTTCTGGATTTTGCAGGGGACCTTGCAATACTCGAGGTTTTTTTCCTTTCCGTCGTCCCATTACATATGATTGACCAGGAATTATCCAAGAAGAAAAGTGTTTAAATATTATATTGTGACAGATGCGAATATGAAGATTTTTAAAACCATTAAGACTAAGAATCTGCAAAAGATGTCCTCTTGTGTTTGTATTTAATGATGAACCCAGTACAGGTCCAGCAGCAGGGTGATGAAATTGTCTTGACTTTGTAATTGTTAAGACATTGCTGTTGCTGTGGTCAATAGGACTACTTTGAAGTAGCCTTAAGTTTAAGAGATTAGGGCGGATAGTTAACACAGCAAAAAGTCTTGCTTTTAATACAAAATAAATAGACATTAGGTTTCAGGCCACACAACTCTATCGGTTTTTAACAGGTTTGTTGATGATCACAGATACTAGCCGTCAACACCGCGTGAATTTTTGTTAAATATCTGAGAGTGGTTACCCTTGATAAGATTTGAAATATGTTTTCGCAGAATTAACCGCAGGTATGAATATAATTATTATATCATTGAAAATAACAGTAGGCCTACACCCCAAAATAAAGTTGTATATTGAAAATGATTAGGATATGTAAGATAGCAGAGTATTTGGGGTCATTCGGAAATTAAGTCACGAAAAAAATGACCTTTTCAGACCCCTCTCCCCCCTGTCACAATGACAAAGTGTCCGAAATTCTTTAAACACCCCCCCCCCCTTTTTTACCTTTTAGTGTCATGTCACACCTAAAAAAAATTTAAAACATACTTAAAATTTTCATAACTGAACAAAGATTTTATCTTTAATATTTTCCCATAATGGATTAAGAAGTAGTTCTATTAGAAAAATGTGACGTAAAACGCAAAACAACGAAGTCCTCCGCGAGCCGATTGTAAATTGACCACAACAGTTTTTGAATCATTTTTCGATATTATAATGTGCAGAAGGTGTGAGTGACTGAGTTTCACTGTACATATAATACCTGAGGCTGAGGCAATTGCGATCTCAAATTAAAATTTTAAAATTAATTGAATAAAGATTTTTCAAAATTATAAAATTTAAGATTTAAAATTTTTTTTAATGTTTGACGTCACAAATTTTTTATCCTCCCCCCACCCCCCGGTCACAAATTCTGGACCCCCCCCCCAACCCCAAGCGTGACGTAATTTGAAAATGACCCCTTCAAAGTTTTGGCATCATAACATTACTAGGCATAGTTGTGAGATAGCAGGAAAGGGTCAGATTAATCAGTCATACGCTTTCTCCAACCAAATTAACAGTTCTAAAAGTAAATGCAGGTCTCCACATAATTTCAGTGTTTCTTTCAGGCACCTCGCCAGGGGCGTCATTTCAGGTTTTTTTCGGGGGGGGGGGGGGCAAAACCAAACCTTGGTCGGCTTGTTCAGTTGTTTATTACTGGAGGCGCCACAGTACATGTTACAGGGACCAAGACTGTAACCTCAGTACAGTTCGTAAAAATTTGACCTAACACGACTTGCCCCTAAGAGCGTTAGGATGTCAGAGAGATACTGTACAAAAAAACTTTGGAAGGGAAACAAATTGGACATCTATCTCTACCTTTGGGATTTTTTTTCTCGCTTGCTTAAACTTCTATCATCAAGGGGTCTTAAACATTGAGAGAATGTCAAACATTGAACTAAGTTATAATATAAAATATAGGCTCAATCATTAAAGGCACAAGCCATAGCCTGCTCATCCAAATATCGACATAAAAACTCGCTATGGATATTTCAAAAAAAGAAAAAAATCGCTTCGTAATTTATAATTATTATTATTTATTTTTTTAATGTGCCCGTAAAATCATTTGCTTCTTCGTAAACATCTAGATTTTAAGAAAGAATATAATATAATATATATATATATATATGTATATATATATATATATATACATATATATATACATATATATACACACACACATATATATATATATATATATATATATATATAAAAAAATATAATATAATATATATATATATATATATATATATATATATATATACATATATATATACATATATATACACACACACATATATATATATATATATATATATATATATTGTTGTTGTTTTAAGTTGGCAGAGTTGGCGTTGCTTATTAAATGGCTATATATTTAACATAGCATGGCATTAGAGGAGCTAGATTCCTAAACAATTTCAACTTCTTTTTTGTATAAGAAGTCGTCCATTAATTATGTAAACAAAATAGGTGGGGGGGGGGAATGTTTGCCAATTGTTAACATTGGGGAGGTGGCGTTAGATTAGGTGACGGCAACAATCATGTTTTCTCGATTAAAATTTGAATCTTAAAAATTGACAGGTTGTTACATTATTTTTAACAAATTTAATAAGTGTAAACTAAAATAGTTATATAATTTTTAGGCTTTTAACAATATAAAATTAATTTAATGTGTGTCTGTCTGTGCACTGCTGATGGCTGGTCAGAATGTTAGCGCACGTTGTTATTTCAAGAGATGTAAAGAAAACAACAACTGGCCTCTCTTCGCCTGTAGACTCTGTTTGTTGCAAATGACTAGGTGATATGTTTGCGATCATGTCGCAGGTATGGAACAAGGACAATGTTCAAGTGTCGTGAAGTCAAGACAAATGATATTGATATAGTAGGAATACGATATTTTGAGAATTTGGGGAAAGTAAAGTGAGTAAAAATAATAACATCGCTGCTTGAACGGATTTGCAAAATCTGTAACATCTATTTTAAATCACAAGTCATGTTGAAATAGGATGTTCAACAGCACCGACAATGCATAAGAGATTACTACCTGCTCCTCAACAAAAATGGATTCGACTAATGTGCAAGTAGCTGCCAGGAACCAGAGAGAGTTTATGGCCATCATTGCGCACACTGACAATTTTAGGTGCTGAATGGTTAGATGAAGATGATGTTGACTTGTCTGGTATACAAGTTCCGCAAGATGAAAATGATAAATCAGCTACTATGCCCATTTTTACGATAGAGCAACACCTGGCTGCTCCGTGGAAAGATGATATCAACTTTGAAACTATACTACAATTGTCAGCTATACTGACAGTAATCATATATATACGTCCATAAACAATGATATTTAGTCCTTAACAACCTTTTCATTGATTCTGCAATATAAAATTTAAGGGTAAAAACTTTTTAACTTGTTGATTAACAAGCTAAACATGTAATAAAATGTTTTTCTTACAAGTTTGTGTCATTAAAATGGATCAGCACAAAGCAAAACGTATTTATATATTTATTTACATTATAAATCATTTTTGGGGGGGGGGGGGGTAAAAATTTTGCCTATTTTTTTTTTTGGGGG